TCATCTTAGTCTCAATATTGCAGTAAATTGTATCCAACACTACCATGGGGAATGGTTCAACTTGCCACCAAAACAATCCAAAGCATGTTCTACATGGCCAGTCAAACAATCCTGCCGGAACAGTTGTCCTCGATTTGTCACGTGGCCGAGGTTGTCCAGAATATGGTTGACATTTGTCGAAGATCGTTCCTGTGCGATTACAAATGTCCATGTTCGACCACCATCCACGAGACATGCTTCATTGTCGCGGACTACCCCCGTGACATGCTCACCACTGGCAGGCCAGTTTGCCGGCATTTCCTGGAAGGAAAGTGCACCTATGGTGCTGCTTGCAGCTTCAGCCATGAGGGCATCCCCATGACCGCGAGTTTCGCAGGCCCCAAAAGCCTGAGAGGAAGGGTGGGGCAGGTACTATTCAAGGAATGGTCTTCCTTCAAGGAATGGTCTTCAGGTTCGGAAAGTCAGAAACCAAATGGTGAAGATCATTGAAGATCTTTGAGTTGATGAAGCCCGCCAAGCAAAAGGGATGGTCAGTGAAGAAAATCGGCTCCAGCGGTGGTCCTTTTCATTGCCAGAGGCCCGAGCCCTGCAGTGAACGCCGATGAGAGGCCTGGCCTGTATAGTTTTCTGAGCTTTGTCAGGAGAGGAGGTCTAAACGGAGTGGAAAGTTGTCTACGTGAGTCTACGTAGACTTGGCATGAATCTACTTCATCTTAGTCTCAATATTGCAGTAAATTGTATCCAACACTACCATGTGGAATGGTTCAACTTGCCACCAAAACCCTGCCGGAACAGTTGTCCTCGATTTGTCGCGATGCGGACTAGGTGAACAGCAAGTGACGCATCTTTCAGAGGAAAACACACCCATCATGTCCTTTCCCAGATAACCTGACAAAGCTGCGCAGGCCTGTGTGCCGGCATTTCCTGGAAGGAAAGTGCACCTTTGGTGATCTTTGCCGCTTCAGCCATGATGCCCCAAGAGGACCCATCTTCAATAGCCAAGGTGGGAAGCAATCGAAAGCAGACATGGCATTGGTGGTGAAACACAACATTTGGATGTGATGCAGATTGCAGATGCAACATTTGGATGTGCTCGTGTTCCGTGTTTATTGACTGAATTGAAATGCAGCTGTGATGTGCCGATGTTTTGTGTGGCTTGCTTCGACTTGCAGCGGTCAAGCGTCCGTCCGTGCTTCTCAGGGGCCGAAAAAACGGCGGTGGCTGATGACAGGCGCATGGTCCGCAACGATGGAAGCAGTGGAATCGCTTCGGGTCGTTTCTTCCTCCGATGTCCATGCTTTTTAAAGAATACGTTCAGGGTCTAGGCTAGCTAGGCTAGGAGGATGGAAATTGACAAGACCGATTGCATGGGATATGTTTTTGTTACCCAAGGATTCCTTTTGACCTGGGAACAGCTGTAAGGCGGTAGACTCGAGAAAGGATGCCAAAGGTTCTAACAGTTGATTTTGCTAGCAGATGCTAGCAGCACGCCCACATTTGGTGGAAGATTTCATCTATCTCAGGTAGGATCTTTTTTCTGAAAGAATGCATGTATATTTGAAGAAAACACCCACAGGGTTCAAGTGTTTCTCATCAAGATTTGTTGCTTGAATGAATTCATTTCCAGTTTGTTCTCGAACTCTGGAATCTTCACAGGATTTGTCTCCGTGCTCAGTCTGCAGAATTTGCAAGCAAAACACACCCGTCATGTCCTGTCCCAGATAACCTGACAAAGCTGCCCAGGCCTGTGTGCCGGCATTTCCTGGAAGGAAAGTGCACCTTTGGTGATCTTTGCCGCTTCAGCCATGATGCCCCAAGAGGACCCATCTTCAATAGCCAAGGTGGGAAGCAATCGAAAGCAGACATGGCATTGGTGGTGAAACACAACATTTGGATGTGATGCAGATTGCAGATGCAACATTTGGATGTGCTCGTGTTCCGTGTTTATTGACTGAATTGAAATGCAGATGTGATGTGCCGATGTTTTGTGTGGCTTGCTTCGACTTGCAGCAGTCAAGCGTCCGTCCGTGCTTCTCAGGGGCCGAAAAAACGGCGGTGGCTGATGACAGGCGCATGGTCCGCAACGATGGAAGCAGTGGAATCGCTTCGGGTCGTTTCTTCCTCCGATGTCCATGCTTTTTAAAGAATACGTTCAGGGTCTAGGCTAGCTAGGCTAGGAGGATGGAAATTGACAAGACCGATTGCATGGGATATGTTTTTGTTACCCAAGGATTCCTTTTGACCTGGGAACAGCTGTAAGGCGGTAGACTCGAGAAAGGATGCCAAAGGTTCTAACAGTTGATTTTGCTAGCAGATGCTAGCAGCACGCCCACATTTGGTGGAAGATTTCATCTATCTCAGGTAGGATCTTTTTTTCTGAAAGAATGCATGTATATTTGAAGAAAACACCCACAGGGTTCAAGTGTTTCTCATCAAGATTCGTTGCTTGAATGAATGCATTTCTAGTTTTTTCTCGAACTCTGGAATCTTCACGAGATTTGTCTCCGTGCTCAGTCTGCAGAATTTGCAAGGAAAACACACCCGTCATGTCCTGTCCCAGATAACCTGACAAAGCTGCGCAGGTCTGTGTGCCGGCATTTCCTCGAAGGAAAGTGCACCTTCGGTGATGCTTGCCGCTTCAGTCATGCCCTTCCAGGCAAGATGGGACATTTCTCTGGCGAGGATGTTTCGGATGTTTGGCTTAACAGTCTTAACAAAAGATCTGCAGAACAGATGGTCAAGTGGTGATGTCACCCATTGTTAGGAGCAAGGACGCTACGAACGGGGCTCCTGGCCTTACTACTATAGGAGCAAGATGAACCAAAAACATTTCAATATTTTGATATGCCTGTGGATGGCTATTGGGTCGACCCCTCAAGACCGTCAGCCGACCTGCCGACCTGGGTGATGAGACGTTCTTCGCCACACCCTTACATCCCTTTGTGGGGCCATAGCCGCTGCCATCTGAAGCAGTTCCTTTGCACCTAGCCAGTCTGAGAAATTATATAATAATATATATATATATTTATTTATTTATTTATTATACATATAAATATATAGCATCTCATGATATCTCATGTATGTGTCAGGATGTTTGTTGTTGTTCTTTTTGGTCGTGTTTTGTGTGAGCTTGATTGTATAAAGTCATCGGACAGCTAATCCAGTTAAAGACAAATGATTGATGAAACTCATACCCTCGGAACAGTACCCCCCTAGAACCTCTCAAAAAAGGAACAACGTTCTCCATCAATCTAAACAGAGCGCTAGTATTCAGGAGAGCCGTATCATTTTGCTGAGTTGAATTCCCCAACTAAGAGATGCCATTTTTCGTGGACGGTCCTACCCACATGCAGTTTGTCTGTGAGTCCGGCTGTCCTGCGGTTTCTCACGTGGCAAACCCGTTTTCTCGAACACCTCGAGGTGCCCATTCCTCATGGGGCTTCCCAGTGGACGAGAGGCCAACTGGACCTGACGGTCCAACGCTTGCTCCGTGGGAACAAGCGTGGCTCGGGGCGGCGGTGGGACGTCCCACCGTGGCATCTTGCAACCGTTCCACCTGGTAAGATGCAAGGTGACATGACACCCGTGGTAGAGAATGTTCAAGACCATGATGGCCACCAGTTTGAGAGATCCTCAAAAAGGGTTGGTGTCACTAAGTTGCCAAGATGATGCAAAGTGGGAGGCCGTTTTAGTTGTATCCCAATGCTTTCTTTATTATTCAGGCAATGTGTTTGCCCTCCATCTCTGGAGTAGTCGGATGTTCGCACAGGATTTGTCTCGGAGCTGTTGGCTTTCTGGTCGTTTCAGAGATGTTTATGTCCTACTTGGCAACTTGGGATGATCGAACCGACTGACTCGGTAATTTTGTTCTTGAAACCACCGCCCAGCGGATGCGCTGGGTTTCTCCAACACAGCAAGCTGTGATTGCCACAACCTTTTTACGCTCCGCACTTGCGCAGGCCAGTTTGCCGGCATTTCCTGGAAGGAAAGTGCACCTACGGCCATGACTGCCGCTTTAGCCATGATGCCATGGCAGGGCGCAGCTTGGCGAAGCATGATGCCATGATGAGATGGCACTTACCGCTAGGGACCGGTGGAGTCAAATCTCAAACTGGAAGCCTCCGGGATTGATTTGGAGTATATGGGACCCCAAGGAACTCCAGTTAGGACCCCATGGACGCCTTTCTTTCCTGAGAATGGTTTCAATATGTTTCAATTTCAAGACTTGGAGGAGGTTCTCAGCTGTGATGTGTCTTTTTCCCTTGGGCCCTTGATGGTTTTCCTCCCTACCCTCTTCAAGACTGCAATGAGACTGATGAACCTGTGAAGCGCTTGGACGAAACTTGCCGCAGTCCAACTAAAGGGCTATATAGATGGTTTAACAGTCGTCTGCCATAGAAGCCCACTGGAGATCATGAACATGATTTAAAAAAAGAGGTAGTACTGTAATAAAACTGTGCTTCCTTCCCTGCATCTTTTGAGCCATACCCAGATGTCTGACACCTGTTTCGGTTGTGCTGAACCTCCACTCCCATGAGGTCAAGAACCATGGCGTGCTCAACCAGCTCCGATGAAGCCACTGCCCTTGCCCTTTAGGCAGCGGGATGACGTCCCAACGGTGCATGGATTTTTTGGGTTGTTTCTGCCCGGAAGGCTTGGATCTGGATTGGATGGCATCACCATAGGCACCACCTGTTGGGTAGTCAGATGGGTACCTCATCCAAGAAGACTCGGGGCCATCCGGCCATCCACAGATGTGTATTGTTTGGTGCTGAGGGAATGGCACCTGGAGAGTGACTGGCTTAGCTGCTTAAGGGGATGCCCCTTAGGTTGGACCCATGGTGAAATGGTATGGTGGCTTGTCAGTCGCTGAGTGGTGTTTGCCACATTCATGCAGTCCTGTCCAGCCGCCTCCCGGGAGAGACAGATGCAAGTCCTCCTAGTAGCGATGCCCTTTGTTCCTAGTAGTAAGGCACTTGTTTCTACTAGCTTCTTGTTACTACTAGTAAGGC